TTACTGACATAAATGAACATTTGCACGATATTCTAATTTTTCGAGTTTCACCTGTAGATTTAGTCTGGCAAGATTCTGTCTTTAGGCTGTAAGCAAATAAAGGGACTATACTAGACTGAGCTGTCTCATCGCTGTTCTTGGGCTGGGCCTGACATCAATCTCGCCAGACTAAATATATGCTAAAGCAGCTAGTGGATATACCCCATGAGACTCTAGGGAGTGGCTAGCCTAAGCCTCTTCTTATTCTCACGGTCTTCTTGCGGGCTGAGAAAGTGCTTGCCTTGTACCCTCCCCTGGAATGCACTCCCTCCTGATAGCCTTGATCTTCCATTCCAGTATCCTCCTCACACATGCCTTCCTTTACATCTACGGCACTTGGCTTTTGAGCCCAGATCAGCCACGTTCTGTCACCTGTTAAGGACATACCAGTAATCTCTTTGATCCTCACCTCATCTATTGTTTTCTCCTTCTTCTACTTCTCTCAAAGTTTAATCACTTTTCCAATTCAGCAATTAATAGGAATAATTTGAAAAACACATCTGATACAGTCCTACAAGTGTAATTTCTCCAAATATTAAATTTGCTTTAAAGTTAACCACTCTTTACAAGATGTTTTATTACCTTATATTTAGTCCTGACCTTTATTGTTTCATTACTTACTTTCCTGTGGTAAGCAGTGCATTCGTTTAGAGACGTTTGAACAGTGGTTAAATCCAGTGTCTCATTGTAACAGATTCCTTTTTGTTCCAGGCCATTCAAAAGGATTTTCCTCAGTATTTCATACTGGGGTTTTTCATTATATGCTAAATTAAACACATTTTTTAAAAACATGGCTATTTCACCTGAAAAAAAAAATGGATCAGTTAGCTGGCATACAAATAATCTAATTTTAATCATACAAGAACTTACTAGATTAGGCCATGTATGTACCTAGTCCATCATTCTACTTTCAACAGTGGCCAATCAAATGCCTTTGTGACAGTTACAGCTTTTCCCATTGTACCAAATACACATATATTTTAGCAGGCATTTTTGGAGCAAATTCACAGTAATAATGCAAAGTATATATTGCTTTTCATGTGGCTAAAACCACCTGGCTACATCATGGCCCACACTTAGTTTCATTCTACTGACCAACTAAACAGATGTGCATTAGCTTAATTTAGCTACTTGACTGTTTTGGTTGAGTACCTGAAAAAGTTGATGTTTCTACAAAACTACAAATAAATACAAACGCGCCAGTTTATTTCATGTCATGCAACATCAACATATTTAAAAATGGATGAAATTCAAATAACCCAAAGCATAGGGCTAGTAGTACTGAACTCCAGATTTTATTCTAGGAGGATACAGCTGAAAAGAAAAAATAGTGGGGGTAGAGAGAGAAGAATCAAATCTACACCTTTAAAGTAAGGGTGAGTACATATGAGTAAACCCTTTACCTAGTATCCTAGTCTAGCTGAGAAGAATTGGAGACAACTACATAGTGGTTCATCAGTGTAAAGAAAATAAAAGTTTACAATTTGCACTCAAGGCTACAGTTGACAGCCTGATATTTGATCCAAGGTACAGTTTATGCTATCTTTGTCCTTATAATTTGTCCTATGCTCCCTTGACTTCACATTTTTGTACAGTTAAAATTCAGAAATGCAAGTGATGTGACTGCTATTATATTTGTAGTTGGATTTTTTTTTCAGCTTAAGAACAAGTTCTGAAAGTGGATTATAAATAAACCGTTCTTGTGAGCCACTCAGCATTATTGTATATAAGATGTGAAGCCATATAAGTATTTTCAAACAAACAAACAAACAAACAAGCAAACAAACCATCAAAATGTTAGATTTATTTGAATGTTACATTAAAAAGCCTAAATATTTTATGTGGAATGGAAGTACTTGGTTCAGTAATGTTCATAGATAATGACTAAATGCACATTCCAAATATGATAAAGAGGATACCCAGAACAATTGCCTTCGTACAGCTGGTCGTTGAACAAAGGGGAGGTAGATATAAGGCCCACTGGCACTCAAAAGCTAAAGTGAGGTCTCAGCCAATAGCACCACCTGACCAATCTGCCTGGGCTGAAAAGCTTATCCAGATCCAGTCATGTTTAGTGCTTGGGGAGAAGACCACGAGAGAATTTCAGAGCTATAGGAAGTTTAAAAAAATTCCTGAAAGAAGGCAGTGAGAAATGACATCAATACTGTTGCCAAGAAAACTGCCTAGTCATCAAAAATGGACTCAACTTGAGGGCATCTTGACCCTTTTATTTCATGAGATGTGTTATTAAATCAAATGGAAGCAGGGGTTTGTCAACAAATGTAACTTAGAACTAAATGAAAATAAGGAAGTCCAGTGTAAAAAACATGTCAAAAATAGACAAAAATTTTTGAAAGGATACCATCTCCCCAGAATGCTTGCAGTTATTCAAATTCATAACAGAAACTCAGCTAAAATGTGTACCACAACCTAGATATTATCTAGCCCAAGAGACCACCAAAGTGGTTTCTGTGAGGGATCAAGGAAGCTAATTGAAAAAAGGTTTCCTTTACAAAAACAAGAAGAGAAAGGAATAATATGAGTAACTTACTCAAAAGGCATGCAAGGAGATAATATGGATTACAATAAACAAACAACATAACACAATAGTTGTCTGAATTGGGCTAAAGGCATTAATGATTAAAATTACAGAAATACCAACTAAGGAGGCTGTAATAATGTTGGGTAGAAAAGGAGATAGGGATATGAAAAAATTATCAGGAGACTGCAGAGAAGTTAAATGGATTATCTTTACTACTGGAAATGTATGACAATATTCATATTTGAACTGATATACATAGAAAGGAAGTCATAGTGACATAAATGGTTCCTTGAAACTCAGTTGGCAGGACCAGGTGGTATATAGTCAAAATGTATAAATGCTGATCTTTTAACAATATTACATGTCCTTAAAATCAACCTCTGTACTGGAAAAAGTACTAGAGGAAAATTAGTCTTTGAACCAGAGAAAGTACAGTAGCTAATGGATCTAGGGAGCAATCTAGGAAATGACAGGCTGGTTAGTTTAATATATGCTCCAAGTGAACTATTAGAAGCATTAGCAGAAATGTTATCAAGCCAGTAGGACAAACCTTGCCGAAGAATGTTTGATTGTTTTTGCAGAAACTATCGCACTAACGGTTCAGGGTTCTTCTAAAAGTGTCAACAAGCCTCTTCAAAAAGAGACTGGAATGGACATTGTTTACTTGAATTACCAAGTATTGATACCACTGCTGTTCATAATCTGGATCTGGCCAATTTTTCTGATTACACCAAATAATTCAAGCCACTTAAAACAAAACAGATTAGTCAAGAGTTTCCAGCAAGGGGAATGGGCATTAAAACAGTATATGTACTCATAGTGATTTAACATTTTTAAACTATATTAAGAAAGTTTGCCTAACAGATAACTTTAAGGAAGTAGACATATCTTGGTAAGTGCTGTTCAGCATTTTATGGGGACCAAAAAATCCATTATCACATGCAGGTTGATGGGATTTCAGCCAGCTGACTGGAAACTGACTTTGAGATTGTGACGAAGGCTCAGTATCAATACTGAACCAGTGTTCATCTCTTATGAAAAAGACAAATTCCATGTTGGCAATCATTAGGAATTTTAAAAAGTGCTCTTACACAGGACATACATTGAAGCAACTACTGTACCATTCCTTCCAGTAAGCTTTAAGTGTCTCTAACAAAATAATTTGGGCTTCACCAAACTGAACAGTGTGCTGGTATATATTATACACTTACAGCATTTTGGCTGCTTGTGTCATATAAATAACTGAACATTTTGTCTCAGAATTGTAGGAGCAAGTTAAATTGAACAGAAACAAATTAACACCCTAAAAGCAACACAGTTCTTTAACAAGCCAAAATAAGTATGGTGTCCAGTATCCACTTGTTTCTAACTGTTCCTTTCAAAAGTGACATCAGCTACATATTGTGGGATTTTGGTATTTTACCAAAAAAAAAAAAAAACCCAAAACAAAACAAAGCAAAACACTAGACCATCTATTC